GGGGAAAGTCAAATCATATCACTTCCAAAAAGCAACTTCAAGGAGAAAGGACAGAAGCCACCACAGTCAAAACCGGAAATGCAGTCTAGCAAAATGGCTACCCTAGGAATGGAGCATATTGAGTTTAGCTTGGAAGAGTAGGTTCCATCATATAGTCTTCTGTCGTCTTTTTACCTAGTAGGAATGTTTCCTTTCCTTCCTGCTTGTAATTTTACTATCATATTTGTTCATCTTATTTATTATCTTATTTGATTCATGCTTGCTCACCTTAGCTTTTTTTCTTCCATCTTTTTCCATCATTCCCACAACATCCTCTTTTGGCCTCTCTGCCTTCCAGCAATAATGGACAGAAATTACAGTCAGGTAGTTTCAGTCCAACATAAGAAAGAACTTTTGAACAACTAGATCTGAACCATAAGAAAAATTGAACTCCTTGTGATTGGGCACATTCAAGCACCAGGGAGACAACTCTTAGGGATGCTACAGAAAGAATTCTTTACATAGAGTGTGTTAAAGATTAGTGTAGATGACCTCTACATGATGCGCCTTCAGGGAGATACTTTGAGGCAGCTGTCATGGTCTGTCTTAGTCTCTTCTCTAGGCTAAATATCCAAATGACTTTAAATAGCCTTCAGATCCTCATATACTATGGATTCAACATTATCTGCCATCTTGGTGGCTCTCCTCTGGATGCTCTCTAGGTAATTAAAAACACAGGTTTAAAGCTGAAAGGAACCTCAGAGGTTACTTAATCCAAACCCAATTCACAGATGAGAAAACTGAGGTCCAGAAAGAGTGTGTGTCCAGGATCACACACATAGAAAGTACTGAATGAGATGTGAATTTTGGTTTCTCTGACTTTAAAGCCAGCATCCTTTCTACTAAACCAAGCTGCTTCTTTTCAACGTCTTTCTTAAACCTTGTGGTACCCAGAATTAGCTCTCAAATACTACCAAATACTACCTTCCCAGAGTCCCTTGTTGCTAGTTACCTTCCTCTAAGATTACGTCTAATTTTATATACGTATATTATGTGTGTATATACATATATGCACATATATGTAAACACATATGCACATAAATTACATATATATACAAAAATATATACACACATACTGATATATATGCATATAATATACATATATATATACACATCCACATACAAATATAAATCTGTCTTCAAAATATTTCTTGTATACATACATCCCCTTCTCTCCTCTGCCACTGCTACTACCCTGGTACAAGTCTTGCTCGCCTCGTGCTCAGATTACTGCAATTTTCCTACCCTGCTCATTAGTCTCCCTGCCATGTCTTTCCCAACTCCAGTCCATCTCTCATTCAGCTGTCAAAGTGACCTTCCTAAAGGGCAGGTCTGACCACGTCACAACCCTTCCCCCCTTCATGATCCCACATTCAATAAATTCTAGTGATCTCTATTATCTCTGTGTGCATTAGACTGTGAGGGTAAGGACTATCTCTTTGTTTCCCCAGTGCTTAGCAAAGGGCCTGGCACACAGCAAGCTATTAATAAATGCTTGAATTGACTTTACAATTCTAATATCCTATTATTTCAATATAAATGTATATTATTGCTTCTTTTTTTCATCTTCTTCCTTACTTTTGTAAAAGGCAGCTAGAAGTGCCGAAGCAGTAATTCCCCATATGGAATAGACTGCTTCTCACTTAGGAGCACGTGTGGGCACTCTATAGCTGCTTCCAGTTTGCTAACCATGTGATGAGGATACAGACTCTTAACTGGCTGCAGAGCCAGAAACAGGCCTCCACTTAAATGGCAGCCAGGCAGCCAGGATCTGAGTTTTGCTCTCTCTTTCTTGTCTAGGTATAGTTCAGATGAAAGAAGATTTATTGTTGTCATTATTAGCATCAGAGGTATGCAAAGTGCTTTATAAATATTATCTTATTTTATCATCACAATATCCCTAGGAGGTAGATGCTATTATTATCCTTATTTTATAGATGAAAAAACTGAGGCACCTAGAGGTAAAGTGACTTGGCCAAGGTCTCAAGTGTTTTCTGACTGCAGTGCTCTGTCCCCTGTACCATTTAGCTGCTTAGGTACAATGGTATAAGGGAAAAGGTGTCATACTTTCCTCATCTGAAGACGTGGCCCATGATTACACAGGCCACTTCTGTTCTTTAATCTTTTAGGGGAAGGATCTAGGAAATGGCTGTGACCCTAAGTTTAAGACGGTCAAGAGAGGGAGCCACCATTCCAAAAACTTAGAAGGTGGATTCTGGATCATTCTGGATCAGCCACAAGTCAGACAGCGAGGAATGGAATCATAAACCACTTTCATAATCTGGTTCAGCAGTAGCAAAGAGAAAGAATCAACCATCAGCCACGTTGCATTTAGAAATGAACTTGGTGGAGTTAAATGCTATGTAGGTACTGAGTTAAATCTGAACCCACTCTCCCCAAGGCCTCTGGTTTAATAGAGGAAGAGTGTGTCCCCAGGTATTGGCAAAGGCGGAAGGGGGGCCTCAAGGCAACAGTGTTAGGAGATAAATCATCACCACCCCTCAGGGTTACCCCTAGAACCCCAGAGGTAGGGATGAGGGGAGATGCTGTCACCAGCCTTGTTCTGTCAGAGTGATTCTAAAACAGTGCTACACTCTTATGCCAAATTGTGCTGCCATATACCTCTAGACATTTTTATTCCTCGAGGCTCTAAAAACCATAAATTTCTTCGGTTTCTCCTGAGAGTCAAGTCACTGACATGTATCCTTAAATGTAAATTCCTTTGAACTTTAATGGCCTCAAAGAAGACAGTTCCCAATACCATTCCAACTTGCACAATACAGCTTAAATTTCCATAGGCCTAAATTTCAAAACTAATGAGTCTCTTTTTGCTGCCACACAAACATGGGAAGAACAGTTAACTGAGGTCACAAAATTAGCCAAAGCTCAGTAAGGACCCAAATGTTTACAGATTTCAGATCTAAAGTTCCATCCATCCTTTTTATTTTACAGTGCATGAACTGAAAACTTAGAATGTTAATGAATAAGGAATAAATGCATAATAAATATAAAGGAACGTCACCACATCATGTTTTCCCAATTTTGTTCATAAAGCAAAAAGCATAATGGAAATAAGACTAACAGATGCATTTCCTCCAAAATATATGGTGATATAATACAATTTTCAGATTCTAACTCTTTTTTTCTGAACTTAAGAAATAAAATAAGCATTTTCATAACAAAGCAGAATAGAAAAAAAAGAGGACTGCACATGAAACTTGCTTTTCCTTTTAAATATATAATAAAGTTATCACTTAACTTTTTTTTCCCTTCCTCCCCCTGATCACCGTCCTAGAGATGCCTACTATTACACACAAATATGTATATATGTAGAACCAAGATTCTAACTTTTGTTTCGTATCCAAGTCTGCTGAATGCTAAACACATCTCCATCTAGAATTTTTTTTTAAAGAATAAGTAACATGTATCTAAGTTTCCTACTGAGTATTAGAAAGGCAAAAGATTTGTTTTGCAAGGGGAGCCTTTAGAATATGTAACCTATGGCCAGAGCTTCCCAAGACTCTGGGCTTATGTGGGACCAGGGACAATGCTGAGGTTGATCCCAAGAACAGCTATGTCTCTAACTAGCTCACCACTCCTACTTGGACATACTTCCAGATAATCTCCTAATAAACTTAAGACAGAGCTTATGTCTGGGTTTCTCCAGATACGGACTAAAAAGTGGCTCTAGGACCTATACAAGTACTCAAAGTACAATATGGGTATCAAGTGTAGGGCAGCTTTTATTTTATCCCATAGAAAACATAAAAGATTATCTACTGATAAAGGATTCACAGAAGCCCATAAAGAGATACAGAAATACAGGGTGTCCCACATGTCTCAGTATAGTTTCAAATTTTAATAACTTAAAATTGCATTAAGATTGGGACACTCAATACATAAAGGATTCAAGCAGTATGTCAGCTCACTCCCAGTAGGAATTGCTAATAGGGCTAACAAGTTACTATTTCAATGAGATTCCTTTCTCCTACAAGGTCACACAGAGGCCCTCTGAGATTCACATTACCACCGTGTGGTTTTGACCCTCCTGCTCCCCACAGGCAAATATCCTCTGGGGGCTGTTTAACAGTCAAGGCCCTTTTCCATCAGACTTGCACCATCTGAATGATTCACTGATGTTGCTCTCCAAGGAGGATGCTGTACAAGGACTATGTGAAATATCCCCTACTCTCTCCAAGGAGAACATCACATGAGAAATCTTCTCTCTACATATGGTACAGCAGTCAAACTTAAAACAGAAGTCATCCATGAGACAATTCCCAAAGCTGAGGCTCTCCTTTGGGCTGAACAGCTCTCATGTGTCTGCTTCTGCTATAAGCTTCTGTTAAGAATTCTCTCAATACCCTAATTGCTTACGTCTATTAAGACTGGAAGAGCTACTTACTCTTCAATCTCAGGATCTCTCTTCTCAGGCTGTATAAGCTCATGCTTGCCAGAGCCATGCGTTTCTGACCTAAGTTACCATCAACTGCTCCTGGGGATGAGGAGAAGAAATGTCTTCTCTCCCTATCCTTGGGCACCAGGAGAGAAGGAAGGGGAAAGAAAAGAAGTATATAAAGAGAACAACCGAGACTAAGACTAAGCAATTTGCTTATACAGAATACAAGGAGGTACAGTTGAGTCTCAGTCAACTATTCATAGGGAGCTAACCTCAGCCTCTGAAATCAAATCAGTACTGAACTACTGAACCAATAGACATTCTGACATTTCAGGGGAAGATGCCCCTTAGATGCATCCAAACCAAGTTTATGCCCTGAAAGTTTATCAGACTGATTAGGGGAACACCTTAAATTTATCAGTGACTCCCCAGAACATACCCCCTGACACACACACACACACACACACACACACACACACACACACACACACACACTCTCTTTATAAATACACCATTTTAAAATGCTAAAAGCGGTCAAATAAGAAGATTCTAGAATCCATACCTTCACACTTTAATCCTTGGCGTACCAATCCCCAAAGCATTTCACCACAATAGTCACAAAAAGTAGGTGCTTTGTAAGAATGCACATAGAGTGCATGTGGACGGATCTGGAAATCTTCTACTGTAGCCAAAGCTTTTAAAAGAAAGGTATTACAGTAAGTCCTATTAATTAGCATGAGACAATCAAGTTTTATTTATACAATGGAACACTTAGGAAAGACAGTAATGAGCTAATTATTTCTGACCATTTCACCTGACCACAAATGACAAATTTTTCCTTGATTTTGTTTACTTTTTAAACTAGGGCACTATAAAAGTTTAGAAACTGCTAATAATTTTCTACCTTTATCTTTTTATATTTTGCTTCCTCTCTTTTCCCTGAACAACAAACAATTCTGTTCTATGGGACAAAGAAGGTAGAGCATCTGTGCAACTGGGTTGGCCTCTGTGGCTCAGGAGACAATAGGAGATACCATTTCAGACCCAGGGCCAAACCTTTCAGCTTGTCTTCTTGTACTCAAGGTTTGTGATGACTTCCTTATCTGTGATCAGATCCACCCTAGGCTTCTTCCATCTCCAAATGGCAGAGAACTATTAAGATATACCTGCCTGGCAGTGCAAATCATATGGGAACCATGTAATCTACCATAAGACCAAAACCAAGTGTTACTCATGTTTGTCCAATACCTAGCACAGAAGATATGGGTCCCTAAGTCTCATCTGAAGACTAAATGGAAACATGAAAACAAGCCTTTTTACTTACCTGACAAAACAACTTCTACAAGATCTCCTTCATGTATCTCTTCTGCTGAGGTAATCAGCTGTAAAATATTTTCTGAATTCAGGTCATGGCGAAAGAGAAGAATTTTGTCATACATGCCAAAAAAACCACATTCTGGGAACTGTAAGAAAAATAATTCTGTATCACTATATCTTCAGCTTTCTTGGATAGTTAAAAAAAAACAACACTTTAAGTTTTATAATGTTGTAGCATTACATTCTATTTGCTATCACCTATATCAAATCCTAAAATGTCAACTATGAATTCCACTGTACTGACTTTTAAAAATACAAAACTAGATTTTTAATAATGCGACAAAAAGTCAGAATATATTTTACATGTTTTCATTCTAAATTTTTTTAAATGGCAGAAAAAATATACAGGAATATTTAGATATTTTAAAACAACAGTACAAATTTCAATTCCCATTTATCAAGTTTCTGCAGTATTCTTGGAACTTCATGAGATGTTATTTGGTTATTGTTGTTGTTCAGTCATTTTAATCGTGTCCAACTCTTCATGACCCCTTTGGGGTTTCCTTGGCAGAGATATTGAAGTGGTTTGCCATTTCCTTCTCAGCTCATTTTACAGATGAGGAACCTGTGGCAAACAGGGTTAAATGACTTGCCCTGGGTCACGGAGTTCGCAAGTATCTGAGGCTACATTTGAACTCAGGCCTTCCTGACTTGAGGTCCAGCACTCTATCCACTGCGCCACCTAGCCGCCCATCTGGTTATTAAGCAGCTCCAGCTACAAAAAGGTTGGCATAAGACCATGCTTCACATTTCATCCACCAGGCCATCTTGCGGTGCCACTTTCCCCTTCCTCTCCTTTACTCTTTCTTGCTCTGCGCACAGTTACCAAATTAGTTGTACCCCTGCTTTGGGAACGGGCATGTCAATACACTGAATTGCCCTTTCGATCAACTCACCATCCCTAAGATTCCCCAAACAAAACTCCCCCCTACAGCCACTACTCCCCTACATGCATGCATTGTCTCTCCCTGCTGGAATGTAAGTTCCTAGAAGACAGGGGCTATTCTACTTTTTGCATTGCTATCACATAACTAGCATAATGCCTAGTTCATAGTAAGCACTTGGTAACTGCTTTTTAATTAACTCATTCAAAGACATGCAGCAGGAAAAAGTAAATTTAAAAAATCATTTTTCAGTAAAAAGGACAAAACTTTCCTCATGATAACTGAACCTATAACTTTAAGGATTAATAACTAAGAATCCAAAGTTGTGACCTTATTTAAAGAAAATATCTGAAAGATGTTATTAGGATCAGAAGGCCAAAAGTCCTATCTCATTGTCTCACTGTAGTGGGGGAGATGGGTTCTCAAAAGCTATTCTAGCAGAATGCTAACTGGCTGGATGATCATGCTAAGAAGGTAACAAGTTAATAAGGTCCTGGACAGGATGCTGGCCACTGGGTGATTTCTCTGGCCATGGCAATTAAAAAAAAAAAAAAAGACAAATCAGCTTTCAGCCCAGCGTAATCCTCTTCTTCACTGATGGTGACAAAGAGCCAAAAAAGGGGTCAAAAGTGCTAAGAATTACTCAGTTTACAGAGTACCTATGAACAGTACCAACCACTGGTTCTCTAACTATGAGATCCTTATCTATCGAATGAGTAAAAAAACTCAGTCATATCATTCTTAACATTCTTGTTAGAGTTATAAATGAAACCAGAAAACAAAGCCAAGCTTCAATTAAATGGAAAGATGGTTCAGAATTTTTCCTAGGAGAAGCAAATAAAGGAGTAGTTATAGTTAATTTTATAATGTCTCCAAAAGCAACAAAAAAAATCATTTCTTGAAACTCTTAAGCGTATTTTTCTGCAGAGCATTTGTAAAACGATCATCGCAAAGACAATTACCACTTATTATATATGTACATGTGTGAATGTACATATATGTATCATGTATCCTATTATATGCTAATGCCAGATGACTGTAATACAAAGGTAGGCAGCTTGTTGGTTATATTTTATGTTGCAGCCTGCTCACATCCAACATATGCCTTTCCAGTGCCCCCTCTATGATGTTAACCTTTAGTTCTTTGGAAGCAGTGCTGTTCTAAACAGCAAAAAACCTGTAAAAATAACTTTATTGAAAAGATGTGCAATTGCTGTTACAGGAAGCTTGGAGCCAATAAAGTACTTGGCATATTCCCAAAAGCATTCCATCCACTCTCCTACTTTTCAACTCTGGGTCCCTAGCTCAATGTCAACTATGCATGGTCTATCCCAAATACATATAATCAAACAAGCTCTAAAGAGTATCTATTCAAATACACACTGAAATATAGGTATCACAATTTGTTTTGTCATTCCTCAATCAATAAACATTTAATTTTGTCTCCAGTTCTTTAAAGAAAAAAGTGCTGCAATGCATATTCTGGTATATATGTAAGCTTTCTTTATCTTTTATGCCTGCCTAGATAAAAATGTAGGTACTCATAAAGGATATTCTAGAGCAGATCACATCTTTTACGGTCATGCCATTGACTTAAATGTTCAAAGAATGAAAAATCCCACTCTATATTGAATATTTTAAAAAAAGCATCTGAGAACACATAACACAGCTTTAAAGGCTCACCTCCACTAAAGTGTCTTTCATGTATATGTCAAAACCACATTAAGATGTAACTATTAGAAGGCTAAGGGGTGAAAAGGGGTATTCCAATGAAATATGGATTAAACTTGCTAATAAGATGATGAGGCTGACAAGTTAAGGAAGCGGTGAGCCTAGAGAAATGGGTAGGGGACTGCACGTAATGGGCTAAGGCTCAAACTGACTTGGGTCTAGAGGTAAAAAGAGGTTAGAGTTGGGGGTTAAGGTTCATCTGTGCATATATCTTGGACAGATACTGTAGATTAATAAGGAACTAAGCCTAGAAATGAATAGGATTCAGGGTTTCATAATTAATCCCATAATCCATTTTGGAAAACACCTAGTTTTTTGTGCTTTTCTCCACTTCCCACCCTACCTTGAAACCAAAGCCCACAATTTTTTATTAATTTATTTTGATTTATCAACAATCACTTCCATAAGCTTTTGAGTTTTAAATTTTTCTCTCCCTCACTCCCCAAGACAGCATGCAATTTGATATAGGCTATACATATACATTCCCATTAAAGATATTTTCACATTAGTGATGTTGTAAGTAAGAATTAGAACCAATAGGAGGAACCATCAGAAAGAGGAAACAAAACTCAACAGAAGAAAAGAAAATAGCAAATAGTATCCTTCGATCTGCATTCAAACTCCATAGTTCTTTCTTTGGATGTGGATAGCATTTTCCATCATGAGGCCTTTGGAGATGTCTTAGATCCTTGCATTGCTGAGAAGGAATAAGTCTATTAATATTAGTCATCGCACAACGTGGCTGTTACTTTGTACAACGTTCTCCTGGTTCTCCTCACTTCATGCAGCATCAGACCATACAAGTCTTTTCAGGTTTTTCTGAAGTCTGCCTGCTCATCATTTCTTATAGCACAGCAGGATTCCATTACATTCATATACCACAACTTGTTCAGCCATTCCCCAATTGATGGGCATCCTCTCAATTTCCAATTCTTCGCCACCACAAAAAGAGCTGCTATAAGTATTTTTGTACATATGGGAAAAGCCCACACTTCTTAACACCAGTATTTCTCCAGGCTACTATATGGCTATGATCATACGAGGCTACAGTTTGTAAAGGACTGAAGCTGCGTAGTGGGTAAAAATAGGCTATAGCGTTATCACTAAAGACTGTCACAAAAAGTGACATAAAAGATATCAAAGAGATTTACAATGGAGAAAAAGATTGGGAATGATCATGGTGCAAGAACAATGGATAATAGCTGGACAGGCTGTGTGCTTCATTGGTACCCATGTTAATATCAAGATATCCAAAGGAAGATCCCAGCATATCCCAACTAAAGTAACACAAGGTGAAATGATATGTATAGGTTAGGATTTGTCCTGGTAGAGTACATAACCACATTGATGAAGTCAGAAATTCATCCAAATATAATCTAACATGGATAATATTACTAAAAATATTGTCCCCACAAAGACAAATACATCCCAGAAATAAAAATAGAAACAATCTTTACAAATCTAGTAAACTGCTGAAGCTGTCTGACCAAAGTAAATACACACACAGTTAAGGGATTAAAAAAAACTGAACAAAACATCAAGACATAATAAAATTTCCAATTATTTTATAGCTTAAAAAATATGAACCCAATTTTACGATCAATTTAGCCTTACATACATATATGTATGTTACATACAACTAATCCTTAGCCTTAAAAATCTATACTTAAATCTTCACTCTAGGAAAAGTAAAACTTTGGAAAGAATATCAAACTCATTCAAAAGTTCAATTTGAAATATTGTCAAGACTCTGGTGAGGTGATAGTGAAGGATAAATGCATTTTCTGGATTGGCAAAATTTAAATTATTAGCATAATTTAAATAACAAAATAACTAGTAATGTTATGTAAAGTGTTTTTTCATATTCTTAAGCTTTATACGGTTGCAAAAAAAAATGGAAACAAGGTAGATAACCATCGATTAAGATGGCTATAAATATTTTGGAACATAAATACAAGAGGTTATTACTATTCCATAAGAAACAAATATGAAAAATACAGGAATACTAAAATGAATTGATAAAGAATGAAGCAAAGTGAGAAAAACAATATTCACAATGATGACAATATAAATGAAAATAATGAATCAAGTCAAGAGGCATTTATTAAGCTCCTACTATATGCCAGGCACGGTACTAAGCAAACTGGAGGAAAAAAAAAAAAAAGAAGATAAGCCTTGCCCCTGAGAGGAGTGGGGAAAATGCACATTTTTCCTTCCTTTGCAGAGGTGAAGGATATGACTATGCATATAGTGTAAGATTCAGTTAATGCTGTAATTTTGCTGAACTTTTTTCATTCTTTCTAGGCCGGGGACCTAGGATAGCCATATCTGGAAATAAAGTTGATTTATAAACAAAAGCTGTCACTAACTTAGTTAATTTTTTTAAAGATAGCTGAACTTGGTAAAATGGGTAAATACATAATAGTGAGAATTAACAGAAACTGGAATAAGAGAATGTGAGCTGACAGAAG